GAGGGAAATGGAACTGAAGAACTTTGTCTTTTGACATCTGGAAAACTAAGCTATTCTCTATCATGGGCATTAGATGAAAATGGTATTCCTCTGACACCTATGTCACAGTCACTAAGATCTGCTTACTGCAGGTAATAAACTTTCATGCTTGAAAAATAATGCCACTCCTCAGCAAAGCATCACACAAAACCTGAACTATAAAAGGGAAAACTCTAGGAGCGGTTTAGTTTATTTGGATGTTTATTTGATTTTTATTTATATTTGTAAATATATAAAATGTTTACATATTTTATTTATAATCATTTTGCTAAGGAAATAAGTGTCTTTATATGTAAGAGAATGTATTTCTTCCGTGCTTAGGATTATAGCCACATAGATGATGAGAGAGGCGGTTCCATTGCTCTTAACTTGTAAGCAAAGGCTGAGACTCCCAAAGATTTTATGTCTGGGGACTTTACATCTCCCAATCATTCTGGATTATGAAGGAATCGTTTTATGCATTATCAATTTGCTGGAATCCTAGAAATTTTGTTCTATTTTATTCTAGGACTTCGTAGAGGAATTAGGATTAATTTCTAGGTCACATCCACAAATAGGATTACTAGAAATAAGTAAGGTAAAATTCTATAAAAATGATGATAATGCTGGCTTATATATTGTTCTGTGTTTGAGTACAATGGTAAATATAAAGGGCCAAGTAGATTCCATCATTTAAAAATTAATGAATAGTGATAACAAAAAGATGGCCTTTCCTCTCCCCATCTAAACAATATTTTTAAAAAAACATTGCTATATCCAATTATATGACATTATGGAAGAGGCAGAACTACGGAGAGAGTAAAAATATCAGTGGTTGACAGGGATTAGGAGGACAGAGGGATGAATAGGCAGAGCACACAGGATTTTTAGGGCAGTGAAACTACCCTGTATGATACTATAATTATGGATATATGTCATTACATATTCTTCAAGACTCGTGGAATGTATAACACCAAGCATAAACCCTAATGTAAACTATGAACTTTCAATGGTAATGATGTGTCAATGTAGGTTCATGGATCTTAACAAATGAGACTCTTTTATCACAGTGAATGTAATAAATTTTAACTCTAGTGCAGGATGCTGATAGTGGGGAAGGCTGTGCATGTGTGGGGGTAGGGAGCATATGGAAACTCTGAACTTTCTGATCAGTTTTGCTGTGAACCTAAAACTGCTCTAAAAAAATAAAGTCAATTTTAAAAATAAAAAATTTAAAAATTGCTATAAATAACTTAGATTAAACAGAAAATCAAAATAGAAATTAGAGACTATTTTAAAAATAACAATGAGAACACTATATATAAAACCAGTGGCGTATGACCAAAGTCATGGTAAGAGTTCATAAATACTTTTCTTGGTAAATAAGAAAGAGTTTTAGAGAAAAAAAGCTAAACTAAATGTCAGTAGCACTCAACAATTGATGTTGAGGTACCTGAGGTGGTGGATGTATATTACTTATCAAGAAGTTTGACAGTAAAAAGAGGCTGAAAATAAGAGAGACAACAGAATCAAGGTATGGATTTCTTTCTTTCTTTCTTTTTTTTTTTTTTTGGTGAGGAAGATTGGCCCTGAGCTAACTTCTGTGCCCATCTTCCTCCACTTTGTATGTGGGATGCCGCCACAGCATGCCTTGATGAGTGGTGCACTGGTTCATGCCCAGGATTCGAACCCATGAACCCCGGGCCACTGAAGCAGAGTGTGCGAGCCCAACCACCATGCCACTGGGCCGGCCCTTGGATTTCTTAAAAATTGGGGCAATCTTTATCTTCTTAAAAGAAGTGATGGAATCCATGGAAAAAGTATCAGAATATATTAGAAAGAGTATGAGGTCCTTCAAAGTCAGGAAGATATTGAACCAAAATACAAATGAATAGCTATGGTTCTAGAGAAGAGGAAATATCTTTTATTCAAATCAGACAATGAGACAGAAATCACTATGAAGACAGAATTGTAATTTTGATGGATATCCATCCTTATGCTGTTAGTCTTTTGTATCCAAGAAACCTTCTTTGTTTTAAAACAAAGAAAAATCCAAGCATTTGATTAAATCCTGAAAACCCTTTTTGGCTCTTTTTCCTGCCCAGGTCCTGAATCATGTGGTCTACTGGTCTGCGTCCATTGCCTCCACTTTTTATTCACACATTCCTTCCCTAATCGAACCTGCTTATTCCTGAAGGCTACCAGTGACCTTCTGGCCGTTTCATGGCCTGTCCTCATCATTTTGCTTCTTGACGTCTCTTCTCTCATGGCTTCTGTGATGCTGCACTTAGCAGTTCCAGTTACTTGGGAGCTCAAGTTTACCAAAGATTGAGAGCAGTCCTGTGAAAGATTGGGACAGATGACAGATTTCAACAGGGAGTGAATTTCAAGAGAGGTTTCAAAGTCCAGAGCCCTCTCTGAGAAAGTTAACTTGAAGTAAAGCTTTACGTTTGGGGCCTCTGAGATCAGAGAGGGACGTTAACAGAACTCTCCTCTACAGCTGTGGGAGCTTAAGGGCTGGTCCTGAGCGGTGGTTCTAGGAACCTGAGATGGGTGCTCCAAACAGCAAGACTGACTTGTGAGAGTCAAAGCATGGAGCCAAAGGAGATCCAAAAGAAAGTATTTGTTTATTCACTGATTTACTTATTCATTCATTCACCAAATACTGACAGAGAGGCAAATAAAGCCGTGAACCAAAAGAAGATCTTAGAATGTTAATACCACATTAAGCACACCTCTCCAATCTCAACTATTGTTATCGTTTTCTAGAGCTTTCATTTAACACATTTTTAAAACATAACACAGCTTTTCTTACTAGTTAATTTTGTGATGTGGTTAATTGACTTTTATGTTTGCCCCTATTTCTTATCTCCCACACTTTCATTCTGGATTTCCTTTTCTTGCTAAAAGCCTGCTCCTTTAGTGATTCTTTCAATCAATTTCTGTAGCTAGCAAAGTTTTTAGTCTTTGTATATCTGAAAATATCTTTATTTTGTCCTCATTCTTGAATAATAGTTTAGGTGGGTATAAAATTTAAGACTGATATTTATTTTCCCTTAACACTTGGAAGCTATAATTGCATTATCTTCTGGGATTTATCATTGCTATTCAAAAGTCTGCTAGCAGTCTAAATGTTGGTGTTTTGGAGACAGTCTGTCTTTTCTCCTAGGTAACTTTAAAATTTTTTGCTTAGTTCACAGAGACAGAAAGCCAGGGGCTGGGGGGAGGAAAGAATGGGGAGTTATTGTTTAATGGGTGCAAGATTTCTGTTTGGAATGATGAAAAAATTCTGGAAATAGGTAGTGATGGTGGTTGTACAACACCATGAGTATACTTAATGCCACTGAGTTATGTTACGTGCTTGGCATGTGGTTGTGGAGCAGGGGGTACAGATGACACATGGATTTTGCTATAGCCCACAGCTGAACACCTATGGGGCAGCTACAGGAATTATTATAGCAAGGGGCTATGTGTTCTGAGGTTTTTATTGCTTTCCCTGAGGCAGAAATCATGGGATTAAATTGAAATCCAATTACAACTTTTTTTTTTTTAGGCTATAATGAGATAAGTTTCTCTCCCTAATCTATTCATTAACATTTAAGCTTTGCCTCAGGCTTTGTTTTCTAAGGGTCCTGGGCTAAGACTGTTCCCATGAGAAGGAAAATTTGTTATATGATGATGTCAAGGGTGTCAGGCCCTAGAGATCTCTTATGACAAAGGCATCAAGACAGTTCAAATATGAGGGCAGAAATAGAAATTAAAGAAAGGAAGAATACTCAAACTTTACCTATTTGTAATTTTGCTTACATCCTATTATACTAGGCATTGGCTTTGTTAGCAATAGCTTCCAAAGATTCATCATAGAAATATGAATGGATGCTATTGGAAAGCAGACAGTATAAAATATGTGTCCATGTTTGGGCTAAGACATAATCAAATCTGAGTCAGAACTCTATTTCTGGAATCCCAGTTTATGGACTGGAATTTTTCTTGAGTACTTTATAGAAAGGGTCTTAGAAATCTTCTAGTCCAAATCCCTCTAATTAGATGTGATGAGACAAATTATCTATGAGTAGAAAGATTAAATAACTGGGATAATTGGTGGCTCTAAGGAAACCCTTACTGTTTAGCATTGAATTCCTTCTCCACTGAGCCTGTAGCTGAGGTCACTAAGGAAGCATTATGAGTCTAGCCTATCTTTTATAGCTCTCCAACTTCTGAAGATGGCCTCAAATGACCAAAGATACCCTTCTGGCACGTACTTTCCAGTTAATTGTATTACTCTGTATTATGTTTCAACTGTAAAGATATAGCCTAAAGATTCTTTTTATATTGTGGACTTTATTAATTTTGCTTAAACAAACATCTTGGTTAAATTTCAATATTGTGCATCCTATGGCAAGAAGATATTTAATAAGTTACTATACTCAGGGTTTACAGAATACATCCAATAAGTACTATTCACTTCAGCATCTACTATGTTTTAGCTGCTGCACAGAGTGAAGATGGCAAAGATGAATATTTACAAACTTTACCCTTACTGTCTCTTAAGGGATGCGAGTAGACATTTATCAAAGATCTATGATACAAGTTAGAATGTGAGAAGAGGGCCAGCCCCGGTGGCCTAGTGGTTAAGTTCGGCGTGCTCGGTGGCCCAGGTTCAGTTCCCAGGGGGCAGACCTACACCACTCATCTATCAGTGGCCATGTTGTAGTGGCAGCTCACATACAAAAGGAGAAAGATTGGCAACAGATGTTAGCTCAGGGCCAATCTTCCTCAGCAAAAAAAAAGAAAAAAAAAGAATGTGAGAAGAACCACAACCAGGAGAGATATCACATCTAAACCTTCTGTTTTATCCTTAAATGCAGGGGATGGATAGGTTTTATCTTTAAATACCTGGAATGGGTAGGTTTTACCCTGTATAACTGATGTATAACCTACGTACTGTATACAAATTCACAAAATGTTTTTCTCTATGTTAGTGTGTTAAGGAATGTAGATGCAAGAGGTGTTCCTGGAATTCCATGGCTCGTTAATACACAGAAGCTTTTTGAATGGGCAAATGAAGTCAGAATTGACCCAAATAATCCAGAGTATTCTGATTTAATGGAATTTATTATGGTAAGTTATAGCAAATATCAATACTCTATGTATATTCTATTTCCTAAGCTCTACCCCCTTATACTCCTCTAGAGTTTGCTGTGTATTTTTCTAGGCACTAGGAGGCATGTAAAGGTAAATCTGACAGGTACAGTTTTCAACCAGTTTACAGTATTGTAAAGGCAATTAGAAATTCAGCAAATGAAATAGTTACTACTTTAGGCCTGACGGTTGGTACTCTGCCACTACTTAGCAGCCTGCAGCACATCCTGCAGCCTAACCTTCAGGCTAACGTCTATTGTACGTCTACTGAGTACCAATCATATTATTAGATGCTACGGATATAGAGATGATTTATAGACACACCCCTTCCCTCAAAGACTCCTTATCTGTTCACTTCTACTCCTCCTTAAAGCCATCTGAACTGCTCTGTGTGCCCCAAACATGCTTTCTCCATACCTTCATTTGTGCCATTCCCTCTTCCTAGAAGGGCACCCATAGTGACTGTCTCACCCATGCTGCAAGTCTGATAAATGCTTCCCTGGTAGCCTCAATTAGATATGGGCTCTTCTTTCCTTGCCCTCCTGTTAACTTTTTTTGTCTTTTTTTAAACTCTTATGGCTCTGATATCATTCTACCCTTTACTGTAGTTATTCATTCCTATATTTTATCTTTCCTTGTGGAACTACAACTAATAAATCTTTGTCTCTCTTAGGGCAACTAGCATTCTTCCTTGCATGTACCTTGTACTCATATTTGCGTTTATTGAATAAAGCAATGTGTGAACAGATTATTGCAATTAAGTTTCCCTGGATCAGAGCTTCCAAACTGATGTGCTGAACTGGTTACAGGTGTACACAAATATTGATCTTCTATCAACTACTAGGGAAACCAGATATGAAATATGAACAGTCTCATCTTTTAACCTAGTGTGCCAGCAAATATTTTCATTGTCTTTATAAGAAAAGGTTGGGAAGCCATGTAGGCTGGATTCTGTTGTTGTTGTTGTTGTTGTTTTCAGATTCTATCTCTGTACAGATGCAGTTGCTCCATTTCCCACTTATATGGCAACTCTCACATCTCACAGTTGAGAAGAAAGAACAGTGTTTTGAAATAATTCTTGAATTTTAAAGAATTAATATTTTAAGTAAAGACTTTATATTATTTGTGTTTTACAGTACATGAAACATAAAGGGCAGGATATTCCAAAGTATTTTCGTCTTGAACAGTTGCAAGATGAATTTAACTTTGTTTCTGAAGAGGAGATGAAAAAAAGTAAACGTTTCCAGCTATTGCAACTTAGAAATGCAGGTCAATTAGATGTTTTCCTTCTGCAGCAAATGCCCCTCTATGATAGAGAGATTCCAGATTTAGTCTTCCAGGTATTTGGTTTCTATTTGAATATGGCTTATTGTATGATAAGTTAATATTTTACTTATTTATATCTATCTTAATTTCTTTTTTTTAAAACTGATAATCTGTAGATTTTGTTTTCTCCTCTTTAGGCGTTGAAAATGTACAGATCTCCCAAATTCCAGAAAGTCCTTGACTTTGTAACTTAGTTGTTGTCCAAACAACCTATTTCACAGCTAAAGTCCTTTAGGTATATTCTAAATTTATGTAAATACTATATTTTTGTTATTGTAAAATGCATCACCAATTTAAAAGCAACTTTTGGGGTTAAGGGAGAGAAACACTACCAAATTAAACTTATACATTGATTATAAAGCACATCTCAATTGCAGAAACTTTAAAATGTGAACAAAAAAGAAAGAAAGAAAAATTAGTCTTACACTGCGTAGTGGTGGTGTACGGGAGCCTGCTGGCACCAGCTGGTGAGAGCCTATTGCGTGCATCTCTTTCCAACTCCAGCCTCAGTGATTTCATGTTGGTTGCTTTAAATTTGTTGCTAGGGGAATATATACACCATAAATCAGCAAATGCTAAAAATTGGGGCTTCCCCTCCAACTCCTGGATAACTGGTTGTTAAACACTTACCAGCGTACCACTAGTCTCAAAATAGTGGAATTATAAGAGCTAATTTCTATAGAAATAACCAATTGTAGTAATCCTAGCACTTGAGCTTGTTAAGAGATTGTTCGAGAAGAAAGGAATTAGCATTCCATCTCTGAAGAAAATGCCTCTGCGGTAGAATTATCACTGTGGGGTGATGTTAGCCAACTTAGATAAGGATACCAGATTCTAGTGAAGGATATTGAGGTTTACACATCTTATGAGTCAGAAAGAGTGAATGCCTTATCCTAAAATAGGTTATAATAGGTTTATTAATTTAACTTTGGTGAATTATTATCAATTGATAAGAAAAAAACTGATAAACTCTGATATTTGTTTTCACTTTATTCTAGACTGAAGGGAAATTGCAATAAGACACTTAATATTAAAAATAGTAAAAGTTATTTTTAAAAATAGTGTATGTGTGTTCTTATTGTTGCCACTCAGCCATCCTTTAGCTTTTATACTCTAATTTAGAGGAGACACAAACAAAACTACACAGGACTCATTACATTTAAAACTCAAGTGGTAGTGGGAGGACATTCTTGGTCTGAACTAAATGGATTATCTGAGAAACTCTTTTTGCTGTGGCTCAGATGTGAAAGGGAAAATGCAAATTAATTATTTTTCAATGACAATATCATGGCACCACCAGTTAGCACATAAAGATAGGATTTGCAGAGAATTCCTTATTTTCACAAACAGGAGTACATAGAAATACATATAGTCACAGACCAATTGGTATTTGGCTTCAGAAAGCATTTCTCAACTTTTAATTATGGTTCATCTCCTGTTTTGAGACTTCAGGAATTTTAGTTAGTAAACTGCAGTGGGAAGGCCTTGGCTTAGAATAGCTAGAAAGTTCTTCAGTTTCCTCATGCTGCTTCTCTCAATGATTGAATTCGATTCCACAGCGCCATAAAGTGCGACAGGCAAAGCACAATGCTCAGCATAATCGGGGGCTATAACATCATGAAAAAGGAACAGTTTCTGCTTTTGAAACTAGGGGCTTTGCTAACTTTCCTTGTCTTATACAAACTATTCAGAGAACAGAAAAGGAGGGAAAGTAACCCACCTCATTTTCTGAGGCTGATATGAGCTTTATACCAAAATTGGGCAAAGAGAGCAAGAAATGATCATGTTTAGATAAATTTCACTTATGACCATAAATATAAAATTACTAATAAAATTTTAACAAATTGAAAGCAATGTATTGTATATAAGTATATAATTACACACCATAATCTAGTAGGGTTTACTTCCAGATTACAAAACCAATTTAATTAGGGATCTATTGCTATAATTTACCACATTAACAGAATTAAGGAAGGAAAAAATATTCTCCTCTTAATAACACCAAAGAGGCATTTAATAAATTCAGTGCTCATTCATGAGGAAAGCTCATAGCGTCCTAGAATCAGAAGAGAACTTCTTTAAACCTTCTTTAGACTGGTTAAGAATGTTTCAACATTTTGGGTTTTTCTGCTGATGCAAACTGCATTGTAAAGAAGTGTTTCAGGTAAATTGTAGAATTGAGGGGGTATGAGGAGAGATAAGAAAGGACCACCTACATATCCACTGGTTGATTAGATTAAGTTTCAGATTGAGTTAGCCAAGGATGCAGAAACATACAGAGGCAGGGCAGAACATGGCAGGACAGCTGCAACAAATTTTGATGTTGGTTTTTCCTCGGCTCTGGTACCCTGATGGGGAGTAAGCTTCTTGTGACATGTCCACACAGAGTAGGTTTTGCCAGAGCTAAAAAAACAAAACAAAACAAAAACCAAACTAAACAAAAAAACCTGTACAAAAATAGGCAAGGTTTACATCACCACCCCAGAAGAATTAGTTTTTACATTGTAAATGCACTTCCATTTAAGGGAATGTTTACAAACATTGGACTCTTGTTCTTGAACCCAAGTCAAGGTCACTAAGGCCATATCATCCTTCAAGAGAAGAAATAGAACCAGTGCCCAGGTGTCCCTGAGCAAATTCTCTGTCTCCAACTTTCCAACGTTCTGGAAAACCTGTTCTTCATAATCTACCCTTTGACTGTGATTCAATACCTTATTATCTGTGTAGCTCAAACTGAGTTTGGAGTAAGGACCATGATCAGAAATCCCTTTCTTCATAGGCTCTTACACAAACATTATACTTAGTGGCGAAACATCAGTTTTCCCATTAATCTCAACAACTTAAGGATGCCCACTATCATCTCTACCAGTAAGAGCCAATGCAGTAAGCCAGAAAGAAGGAAGAAAGAAAGGGACATTAGAATTGGAAAAGAGGAGACAAACTGTCTTTGTTTGCAGAAAATACATTTGTCTACATAGAAAATATAAGAGAATCTACAGCAAACTGTCACAGCTAATAAATTTGTTGAATATACTATCCATATTTAAAAATGAATAGCTCTGGGCTGGCCCCGTGGCTTGGCGGTTAAGTGTGCGCACTCTGCTGCTGGCGGCCCAGGTACGGATCCCGGGCGCGCACTGACGCACCGCTTCTCCAGCCATGCTGAGGACACATCCCACATACAGCAACTAGAAGGATGTGCAACTATGACATACAACTATCTACTGGGGCTTTGGGGGAAAAATAAATAAATAAATAAAATTAAAAATAATAATAATAATAAATAAATAAAAATGAATAGCTCCTTTTTTATTGCAAAAGGAAAATTGTACCCCTACAATGGAGAAACCTAGTTGTCACCATCTTGACTCAGTGATCCAACTTAATATTAGTTGTGGTAAGTGGAATAATAGCCCCTAACAATGTCCACTCTCTAATCCCCAGAACCTGTGAATATGTTATGTTATGTTGCTTAAAATAGAAAGATTATCCTGGATTTTCTGGGTGGACCTAATCTAATTAAATGAACCTTTAAAAACGAGGAAACGAGACCTCAGTCTTATAGATTCTGCCAACAACCTAAATGAGGAAACAGATTTTTCCCAGAGCCTCCAGATAAGAACCCAGCTGGCTGACACCTTGATATTAGCCTTGTGAAACCTGGAGCAGAGAAACCAGCTGAGACAGTCCAGACTTCTCACCTACAGAACTGTGAGATAATAAATTTGTGTTGTTTGAAGCCACCAAATTTGTGATAATTTGTTACGGCAGCGGTAGAAAACTAACATGTACATTAACAAAGGACAGCCAGACATTATTGCCTTATAATATGATACAATATGAAATACATAGCATTATGTATGAAGTATCCTTGCCAAAAATGTGTAATCTGAATCAAATTAAAACTTTAGATTAATTTGTTTACAAGAATTGTGAGAAATAGAGAAACAAGTTAAATGACACAACAAGGAAACAATCAGACAAATTTGGAATGTGGGACAACTGGCTAGCAAGTACAACTGCTTTGATCTTTTTAAAAAAACATCATTTTTTATTTTTATTTTTATTTTTTTGCTGAGGAAGATTGGCCTTGAGCTAACATCCTTTTGCTCTTTTTGTACGTGAGCTGCCGCCACAGCATGGCCGCTAGGTGGCGTAGGTCCGTGCTCAGGAACTGAACCCGGGACACCCAAGCAGAGCATGCCGCACTGAACCATTAGGCCACTGGGGCTGGCCCTATAAAACATTTTTGAATGATGTAACAAAGAATCTGAATAAATGTTCACTGATAGAAAGACTCAACATTGTAAGATGGCAGTTCTCCCCTAATTAATCTGTAATTGTAGTAATGCAATTCCAAACCAGTGAAACAGAACAGATTCAGACCACACGAAAGAAAGAAAACCATGTGTAATGAAGATTACATATGAAAAGCAAAACTTTAAATGACTATCTTAATCTTGGAGTATGAAAATATTTCTTTAACAATACACAAAAAGTATAAATTATAAAGAAAAAGATTAATAAATTTGATAATATTAAAATTAAAACCTCACAGATTAGGAAAAGATATTTGCAACACACGTAACAAAATAATATCCAGAGCATTTAAGTGACTCTTATAAATTAATACTTTAAAAAGTAAAGTAATATAAAATATTAATATGATATATCCTTAAGTAAAAGTTGTTACTTGCCAACAGAATTAATTTTAAGATTTCTTGTGGATAATTAGAAGAATAAATAAATTACTTTCAGATCATAGTGTTCATTGTAACATGGCTGAAAATTCTAAAGTATCTACTTCATTATTTTTGTGTGGTCTTTAATGATATCTATAGTGTAAAACAATTTCCATGTGCATTAGGGGTGTATCCCACAAATGCAGATGTAACAGATGCAGATTTATTCTAAATCATAAAGATGAAACATCCTGACAAGTAATCTTATACCAACTGCTGGATGTAAAATTCAAGTTACTGATTATAGTTAACACACGTTGACTACTTACTATGTGCCGTGCACTTTACAGATATTGTTTCAGTGAAGTCTCACAAGAATCCTGTGACATAGGTACTATCATTATTATTACAAAAGAGGAAACTGAGGTCTGCTGTAGTTAATCAACCTTCTCCAAAACCAAACAGTTAATAAATAAATGGCAGGGTCAACTTGAACCCAGGACTGCGTGCCTCCAAAGCCCACTTTCTTGACCATTACACTATACTACTTTTCATTTGTTTTGTTTTTAGTGATGGCCAGATAAATGCATGCATGAAGAATATTTCTCAGTCATCTTCACATTTTCTCATAATTTTCTCAATCACAAATTTTTTCTCAATTATTGCCCTATTTTAAAAGGTGAATGGACCTCATCCTAGAAGCAAACAAAATACAGTCATAAACTGTTCTTAGCTAATTCTCAGTGGGAGAATCTGAAAGAAATGTTTTCTTCTCTCAATGCCTGAGTCAATGTCTCAATGCCAATGTCTCCTACACATGAACTGAAGTGAACAGTTAATATTTTGTTGCAGCATGTCATATCTGAGCTCTGTTGCATTCAAGAAGTGAAACTAACTTAATTCTCTGTTTAGGAATATGAAAGTCAGATAGAGAAGGATATGTCCATTTCAGATGTGAATTCTATTACCGCACAAAGGATTAATTCTGCCAATTTTCTGAAAAAGGTAATAACAAAATAGTATTATCAATATGTTTGCAGTTACTTTTGTGAAAATTGGTCTGTTGGATGCCTGGTACCAGAGAGTCAGATGGACAAGTCTACATACTCGTCACCTCTTTCTGATCACTGAGAGGTTTTTCTGTTCTGTTCAGACTTCCTTTTCAGAGTTAATTACTTACCGTCTGTAAATGTGCACTGTCGGTGTACATTGTTGATGCAGAGGTTACTTCTGTTGACAGCAAACTCATTAAAGCACATCCCAACTTTTTCTGTTTAAACATGAACATTGAAGACTTCCCATCTCTTTTTGATTCTAAAAGTTCACTTTGAGAAGTATGCCAGCATTTTGCCAGAATCTCTACTTTTACTAGTTAACTCAATAATGCGGTTGACCATAGCAATTAAGAGGATGGAGCTACCAGGAGACAGAAAGTATTAGAGAAAGACATATGCTTCAATACAAAGTCAGATATTTACAAAACCCCCTAGCAAAGCCTAAACCAGGTTTGAGGTGGAATCCCTCACTGAATTTTGTTCCTGATTTCTTTCCACTAACCCCTTATCACCCCGCTCTAAGCTTCTGGAATGCAGGGATTCTATCTGTAGATCTGCAATACCCAGCACAGTGCCCTTCACTCAGAAAATGATGATAAATGTTGAGAAATTAATGAAGTAAAGGATAAAACTACAAGGGCTGAGAAGGTTTCTAAGACTTCAGCAAGAGTAGAATCTCACCTAAGTACGTAGCCTTTGCTCTAGAGCATCAGAGCAGCATTCTAGGGTAATTTGGAAGGAAGAAAAGAGCCATGGAAAGATCTAAGAGATACATACCAGATCCCTCATGGAGACGGATGGGAAGCAACCTTGTATAACTAGAAGAGCCCCAGGAAGATGTATGAAAACCTGTTCTGACTACCCTGTGTGTCTTTGGGCAATTAACCTATTCACTGAGTCCCCCTTTCTTCTTGTATAAAAATAGACAGTTTTTGTCTATAAAAATAGACAGCAGATAATGGCTGCCTTGCTTTACATCCGTGTAACAGGCAAATGAGATTAAACCTCACGTGCTCTACTAGTTTTTACTCATTTTACTATGAGAGGGTGGTGGAAAAGCAGACCACTATAACTATCCTGGGCTTGAAAGAGCTCCTCCCTTTTGTCACTGGCAGGAGTTATTCCGACTCACCTCTATCCCTCCCACCCCTTCCTTACTAGCTCCATATTAAAAAAAAAAAAAATTGGGATGTGCTTTTATAATGAGTTTTTCTGTCTTAGGAAATAAAGAGGTGTTCTTACTCATAAGAAAAGAGAACACATATCCTTCTTATCCTTTCTCTTGTTTTTTATGTATGAGGAAGCCCTAGAGGGAGGGCAGCAGAGTATCAGGAGGAGGGTAAGAGAGCAAATGTCTGAGGATGCTTGAACTGCATATAGGAATGCTGGGAAGAAGCTTTAAGAAAATTTTGTGATTAGATTTCAGCTCCTTGTGAAGACTTCTTTGCTGTCAGAGGATAGTTTTAAAACTACAAGTTCAAGGGATAATTACTTTAATTACAGATACTGGAAAAGTTTGACAGTGGAGGCCTATTAGGGCCATAGATATTTAAATCCCGCTGTGGGAGGAACTCATGGAATTGTGAGTTATGTGCATGAAACTTCGTGCTGTGTTACTGGGGTCAGTGGTGGCTAAGGCCGGGATTGCAACAGTAAAGAATGGGGTCCCAGCAGTCTCAAGGGTTACTAGATAAAGTTTTGCTGAAATGTTTGCATCTAAGAGACCAGTGCATCTCCTCGTTCTGTCCCTTTCATTAACTTATTCAATAAATATTTATTAAGCATCAGCTATGAATCAGCATTATACTAGACATTGGAATTACAGCAGTAAACAAAATAGACTGAAATCCCTGACTGCCTGGGGGAGGTCATTCTAGTGGGGGAAGTCAAATAATGAACAAAACATTAGTATGTTAGAGAGTGATATGTGCTATGAAAAATAAAGTAGAGAGAGAGGACAGGAGTTCCATGTGTGTGTGTAGGGGGATAGGATGCAATTTTAAGTAAGGTGATCAAGGAAAGCCCATGAGATGACACTTCAGCAAAAGACCTGAAGGAGGGAGCTAGCCATGGAGTTTTGTGGGAAAAGAACATTCCAGGCTGAGGGAACCACTTGTGAAAACTGTGAGGAAAGAGCATGCCTGGCCTTTAGAATGAACAGCAAGGAGCCTAGTCTGTGTGATGCCAAGGGAGCAAGGGAGAGAGAGAGACAGAGAAAGAGAGAAGTGATGGAGTCAGAGAGATGTGGTTCACCTTCAAGGGAAACAGTTTATTGCCCATATGAGGGTAATTTTTAGGAGCTATATTTTTCCCATTCTTCTCCTACCCGCCCCATTTTCCTACTCCAAGCAGATCATTAGGCCCTAGGTTACATTGTCTGTGGGATGATTTGTGGCAGGACAGAAAGCGGAAATTGCCTCCAGACATGCTGCTTCCCGTTTTGTGTTTGAAAACCTAAACCTGTAGTGAAGGGGATAGGGTTAGAGGAGAAAGGGAGGGGTTCCTCAGACTAAAGGGAAGAATTTCAGAGTCCTTTGAGGAACCAAGGTCTGTGGTTCTGCAAATTGCAAGGACTTATGGGAATGGCTCTGTACAAGCACTGAATATCTTACCAAACTGACAGAATAAGACTTAAAGTCAGAATAGAATTGACTCAAAGGAAATACAGAAATGTGACCACATTTCTTTGAGTTTGTGGGTCAAGATTCATAGTCCATCATAAGTGGCTGTTGTAGAAACGTATTCACAGGGTAATCATCTCCTTTGGTAAAGACTAGTTCTGTCCACGTATACTGTGAGTTAGGTAGAAAAAGAGATGAGAGCAGAGTTTAAGATGACATGAAGTGGAGATGGAAGGACAAAAAAGTGGAAAGAAAGAAACTTGCTTTGGTGTGACATTAATGTGAGAGTTAGGAATGATTTTAATAATGGTAGCAAACAGAACCATATTTTCACTTCTCTAATCCCCCTTTCTGTTCATTGCTTGCAAAAATTAGTAGTTGAAAATAGTGGCACCAGTAGCATTGTAAATACTTAATCTTAAAATATAAACTATGCATTTCTTTAAATTCTAAATTTTTTTTGTAGATGAGAAGGTTGATAATGAAAAGAATTGTCAAAGTTAGCAAATTTAACTTATCAGATATTGTGGCTGATTATGAAGAAATTGTATCTGCAAGGTACATGCTAAAAATTATTATTTAAATATGAAATATAAAGCTTTAAGCTAATACCTTCAAAGTCCCCTAATACATTCTCTATTTTTGTATTAATTAAGTTGCATGTCAAAAGATGCAGTTACAGAACATAAAGTGAAATATAGTGATTTAAAATGTATTTGGACATTTTTAAATTGCATTTTGGACATATCTATACGACATATGTTTTCAATTGTATAGTATTTTAGTTTTTAACTCTCTCCTTATTGATAGTTTTTAGGTTAAGAAAGCCAAATAAAAGAAATACCTTTGTCCCAAATTAGTTTTGCCCTAAGATTTTCTTGTCCTGAAACTGCTACTGGAAACGTCATTGCTAGTACCTCCACACACTAAGCCTGTAATCCCCCCTTTCAAAACCGAATCCTCAGCCATAAAAGGGCGCTGTGGTCCACAGGCAGCGGTTGGGGGAGCCTTTGGCTGAAGTAACTCAGTTCTCTTACTGTCCTGTCTGTGGAATTTAGGGATAGGAACAGGAGTAGGGATGCATGTTTCTGGGAAACCTCCCTGGGGCCACTTGTAGATTCCTAGTATTACCAATAAACTTTTAATTGGTTTAGGATGCTGAAATCTATTGTGTTTTATTTTCAGTCTTTGGGGGAAAATGGATGTGACCATAAAGCTATAATTCCGTGGATTTGTGTTGCCAGGGTGGCAGCATGTGTAACTAATAACTCCTATTTCAGAGCCATGCGAAAAGTTTAGTTTCTAACTGCTTTCAAGAGAGTGATTCCTGAAAAATGAGTAATCTTCTGAAACAGCTTCGTGTTTCATGGAATTACCTCTCCGTGCTCTTGTCCGTTCTTGGACCATGTACCCAAATTACATGGAGCAATCACATTCTCTCTTAACGTGAGAGTGAACATAGCATCGCTTCTATGCTCAGAAAAAGATTCCTTCCTTGGGTTTAAGACAACTCTGTCTCCTTTCCACAATGGAGAGATTATGATTCAGAGTAATGGCCTTATTTACAATAATTAATTTAAAGGTTGATATCTTTTAGAACTAAGTTATCTTGTGTATATGCGGCTGATCACTTTTTTTCTCTTTAGCCAGTTAACACATGTAGTTTGTAAGCTTGTTGAACGACGAAGAAAGTTAAAGCCTTGGAGGAAAGAGAGGAAAAAAGTGGCAGCACAGACTGTCTGTGATGGAGATATTAAGATTCTTGTCAGAATACTGAGGGCTTATAATATTCCTACCAGGAAAACAATAGTTAGTAGGTAAGGCAACATGCACCAATTTTTAGAGTTGCAAAAGATCTATCTTAAATGTAAATTTCCATACCGTCCTATTCGTAAAATCCTCATTGCCATGTATTAAGCTTTTCGGAAGTTTGAGATGCCCAAAGTAACTTGAACACATATATTTTTGGATGCTATATCAAATAAATGTCTTTTCTCCCTATTCCCTATTATGAAAACTTGTGAAGCTGCTGCCGCCAACTGCACTGTTCTCTGCCACTGGCCCATCTCAGTACTGGAAGTAGAAAACTGGAGAGAGTAGGCTCTGTTTTGGACTTGTCATTTTAGGTGATTTCTGCAAAAATCAGATCTTACTTATCTCTACTGCAGGCACTCGGTGGGTTTTATTTGTGTTTCTAGGGCAAAGAATATGTGGGGCCAGAATGGATCTCACTGCTGAGTGGCCAGATTAAGGCATCATGAATATTAAATGTTCATGTATATGTAGTGTCTCATATATATTTAGTCTTGTATATGATTCATATATTAAGCATATTTAGTACCCAGGTGCATCAGGAATATTAAGTATCCCTCTCTGTCTATGCTTAACACATATGTGCTCTACTTGCTCATCTTATGCTTACTACATCCCATGAATTCCACATATGAAAAACAAATGTTTTGCTTACTAACTACTTATCTCTAGTTAAAACCTCTTAAAGGTTTTGCTTATGTTTTACAAACTACAACTTTGTTCATCTAATAGAATTGATTTCCTCAAAACAGATGCACATTTCAAAGGCTGTTTTGTGAAATAAGAACATCATAAAATCACTATCAGTTTCCATAATCATCAATTTGTAAAAGAAAGAATAGTGTTAACACCAAAAATAGGAAGGATATAATCTCCAAGTATCGCTTGCCTTGTTTTTCTCCTTTTGCTGAGGACCAGTGAAAACTTTGTCATAAACTGGATCCAGTTTATAGTTCAGCATTTAGGAGCCACTCTTCCAGAGCAGTAGTTATCAAATGTTTAGCTCCAGCCACCTACGATATGAAGATCCAAAGCAAACTCTGTAAGATCCAGGGTAACTGAGTTGCATATCTCCATAAGCACAAAAACCTGCCCACTTCCACCAATATTAAAATTAATTAAAGTGTGTGTCTCAATATTGTTTTTCCTGAAGAGCCTTGGATATGCCTACTTATTTGATGTCATCCATGTCTCGCCTCAGACATAAAGAAACAATCAAATCAGTAGCCTCAGATGAGATCTTAAATGAGGTATTTAACATTTCTATAAAGTTGGATTTTGATTATTTTGGCCCTGAATTGCAAATGGCTTCTGATTGGTCTCTCCATCTCTAATCTCTTGGGCTTTCAGTTTACTTTCCATAATACAGTTGAAGGTGCTCTTTATAAAGTGTAATTATAACCATCTCATTCCCTGCTCCCCTGCTCTCAGGGTCTGTAGAATAAGGTACAAGTCCTTGGAATGCCTACAAAAGTCCATAATGATCTGACCCTTACCTGCCAATCAGTCACATCTCTCTCCACCCCACAGCAGACTCATATCATACTACTACTTGTTCTAGAAGGCCTCTGTCCATGCCCTTTCATTTGCGTGGAATGGCCTCTACACAGCTCTATGTTATTGGCCGTGTGAACCACTGCTTAATGATTCAAAGCTCAAGCAATGGTTTGTCTGTAGCGCTGTCCTTGTCCTCACCCCGGAAGGTTCATCATTTCCTCTCCTGAGTAACTATTATACGCTGAATATATTTATTTTATTTCTCACATTTCATTGCAATTATTTACCTGTTTATTTGCCCCTGATAGGCTATAAAATCCTTAAAGGAAAGTTCCATTTATCTTTGGATCCTAGAAAAGTACCTGATATTGGATAGGACCAATAAGTGTTTATTAAATGAACGAATGAATAATGGCTGTTTGAAAAACTAGAAAAAGTAAGCCATCCAGTTGTCAGCCAGTAACAAGTAATTTCCTAGTCTTATACCTGTTATCAACTATATAAAATATTACAAAAATTTCGTCAGTGTTTATTATGTGTTTCAGGATACTGTAAACCCTTTTGTGGAAGTTTCCTTTCAACACACTGTATACCAAACCAGTACTGCAAGTGGATCTCATCCATGCTGGAACGAAGAAATTAAAGTAGATTTTATGTAAGTTGGAGTCCATTTTTCCTCAGCTCCTAAAAAAGAGCAATAACAAAATTATTTTCTTGAGCCATTTATTGAAAATAATTATTGAGATAGCTTTTATTTTTTCCTGAGTTTTTTAATTATGAGATATTTCTAACATAGATATTAATATATATAATGTATACGTACATATAAGTTCTGAGGAAAAATAATAAAATGAATACCTGTGTATCTATCATCCAGCTTAAAAAGTAGAATATTCCCAATACCTTTGGGGGCCCTTCTGGCCAAAACCTAATTGTATTCCCTTTCCTTCCCCCTAGAAGTAACAACCATGAATTTGTGTTTACCACTCCCTCTCTTCCTTTATGATTTTATATAATAGGTATTTATCTTTAACTATGTATTATTTACTTGTGGATGTTTTCCAACCTTATATGAATTGAATTCTCTTTTGCAACCTTGTTTCTTTACTCGTAATTATTTTGAGAAATTCATCCATGTCTATACTCGTAGCTATTCTTCCTCCATCCCATCCTCCCTCCCTCCCTTCCTTACTTCCTCCCTCCGTCCCTTGCTTTATTTTCACTTCTATATAGTATTCCATCGTATTAAAATGCCATAATTTATTTATACTTTCTCCTGTTGATGCACATTTGGGTTGTTTTAATGTTTTGCTATTGCAGATAATGTTGTTCTGAACATTCTTATACTTATCTTCTGGAGCACACATGCAAGAGTTTCTTTTTAAGACTGTACCTTCTAAACTTTTTTGTGCATTAGAATCACCTGTAAGTCTTCTTAGCACAGATTTCTGGGCCCACCTCCATAGTTTCTAATTGAGTAGGTCTGGGGTAGGGCCTGATAATTCCATTTCTAACAAGTTCCTAGGTGTTACTGATGTTACTAGTCAGGGGACACTTTGAGAACCTCTGCTCTAAGACATATGTGCAGGAGTGGAATTGCTAGGTTGTAATTGAATTCAGCTTCAACTTTACTAGTAAACACCAAACTGTTTTCTAAAGTGATTGTACCAATATACATTCCCAATAGCAGTATATAAAAGTTCCTATTGTGCTGTATCTTCAATAATATTTTGTAGTTTTAAAATTATTTTTTCTAATATAGTGGATCTAAAATGATGCTCTCCTTATGGTTTAATTTACATTCTCTGATTTCTAATGAAATTGAGTTTCTTTTTTTTCTATTTTTTAAAAAGTGATAGACTTTATTTTTAGAGCACTTTTAGGTCCTCAGTAAAATTGAATGGAAAGGACAGAGAGTTCTCATATACCCCTTCCTCACGACATACACACACAGCCTCCCTTGGCATACAGTGTTACAGTTGATGGACTAACACTGACAAATTATCAACCAAAGTTGATCAACAAACGATCAACCAAAGTCCACAATTTATATTAGAGTTCACTCTTTCTGTTGTACATTCTATGGGTTTTGACAAATGTATAAGGACACGTATACAGCACTATAGTATCACACAGCAGTTTCACTCTCCTAAAAATGCCCTCTGCTTCACCTATTTGTCCCTTCATCCTTCCGCTGGAACCTCTGGCAACAACCACTGATCTTTTTACTGCCTCCATAGTTTTGCCTTTTCAGAATGTCATGGCATTAGTCAGGGTTCTCCAGAGAAAGAGAACCAATTAGGATGTGTATCTGTCTGTCTGTCTCTCTCTCCCTCTCCCCCTTTCTCTATCATATATACAGTAATGATAAATAATAAATAAATAGTAAATAGTAATTAGCCTTGTGAGTTCTACTTTGGAGGAGAAATTGTGATGAAATTTCAGTAAAGTTTGAGTAGAATACAAAATGCAAGACAAAGCAGGACTTGAGTGATTTAAAGGATATGCTAAGTTGACGTACTCAAAAATGTCTTGAGGATGACAGTTATCGTTTCTCCTGCTATATATATGGCACTGATTCCTTAAAATAAATCTCTCTCACATAATATAATGTAAGCCCTAGAGACCTGCTGTGCAACATTGTGACTATAGTCAACAATAATATATATAGTCCACAACGATGATGTATTGTACACCTCATTACTCTTTAATCTATTTTGAGTTGATTTTTGTCTGTAGTGTAAGATAAGGGTTCAATTTGATTCTTTTGTGTGTAGATATTTTACTGACACCATTTGTTGAAGACTATCCTTTTCACATTGTATATTCTTGGTACCCTGTCAAAGATCAGTTGACCTGATGTAGATGCAGGGATTTATGTCTGGGCGTCTATTCTGTTCCACTGGTTTATGTGTCTGCCTTTATGCCAGTACCATGCTGTTTTGGTTACTGTAGCTTTGTAATATATTTTGAAATCGGGAAGTGTGATACTTCTAGCTTTGTTCTTTCTCAAGATTCATATTTGATACTAAAGCAATATAAATAGGTTTTTGTTATTGGAAATAAAGTGTACTAATCAAGACAAATTTGAAATATAGAACTTAAAATTGTTCTCTAAGTTCAATTAGCAATTTTCACTTGTCACTTCCTATACATCTTTAGCTCTCACTGGGGTGAAAGGAATATAAGGAATTGTCAATCACATCATTATCAAAATCTTTTCTATTTCCTGATACCCTTTCCCCCTTCTCCCATCAATTTTGTTCAGCTCCTTCCATTTCTGCAGATCATGTGGTTCCTGCATGGTTCTTTGATACATCACCCTGACTTTTTAACTCCTGAATTTCTCCTAGTTCTCGAATGCCAAACTCTTGGTCTCCTGGACCTTGGGCTTCTTGTGTGGCTTTTCCTTCTGGCATCTGTGATCTTGACCTTGGCTCTTTGTGAGTGGGTCCTGATTCCCAGGATTAAACAATCTGTCTATTCCCTTCAACCTCCAGCTACTTCTTTCCTACAAGAGTGTATGAAAGAAGTCCTGGCTATGGGCTCTAACCAGGAAGCTCCCATCGTTATTCAGTCACTTTCCAAACAAGCTACCAGCCTTGAGGGCCCAGATGCAAGCTGTGGGAGCACAGAACCACCAACCCCCAGCACTGTCCCCAGTCCTTCCTTGCTAAAGAGCTTTGACAGAATGCTGCCACTCTCATACCTATCCTGCTGAAGGAGATTATCTGTGCTACATGAACATTTACATCCCAGCCACCACTCTTCAAAATGAAAGCCTCCAGTCCCTAACCAGGATTTGCAAGGAGAGACCCTGTTTATGCCATTATTTTAACTTGGGAGGAAAAACCCAAATAGACCAGTATACCTTGGAATTTTGTTAACTTAATGCTATGGATACTTCTGCTATTAGCAGAAATCAATTCTATTCTTCCAGATTCAACACAGGCTCAATTGTATTTTCAGAGTTCTTAAACAGATATTCTTATTTGGCTGTCTGTCTGGACCTTGTACTTCTTGCTTTGCCTTGTTCTCTGATTTTTGCTTACCTGAACTTTTTACTCTTTGTGTCTGAAGGGGAGTATTGATCGAAAGGAAAATATATTATATTATATTGTATAATATTAAGTAATTAGTATATAAAATGTATTTAGTTAAAAGGTTTATAAAGATATAAAATGTGGTTATGTGTGTGGAAGTATCTGGTATATTAATTTAGACATTAGAGTTAGAAGAAATAAACTGTATTAAATAAGTGGATTTAGGAGAACATAAAATAGTCAATAAGATAAACTTGTAACTGAACTAAAGAGAAGGAGACTATAGAGTATTTGCATTCTTGTGATTATAGCAGTGAGATAAGCCAGGAACACATTTAGAGTACAACCGAGTAGATCAGAGGGTTCAGCTAAGACACAACCGCTCAGCCACCACGTTTTGTTGCCTCAGATACAAGAGCTCTATTCCCCTGTTCACATGACATTTTAGTGAATAAAAGCCACATGTAAATGGGATAGATAGTAACAGTAAATAGTAATTAGCCTTGTGAGCTGTACTTTGGAGGAGAAATTATGGTGAAATTTGAGTAGAATACAAAATGCAAGATAATGAAGGACTTGAGTGATTTAAGGGATGTACTAAGTTGACATTCAAAATGTCTTGAGGATGACGGTTATCATTTCTCCTGCTAGCTTAGTGTTGTAAATATACATTGCCTCCTCTGTCTGGTCTTAGGCCATTGCAACAGGAAAGGGAACTCTTGAAGGAGCAGGGTAGGGAAGTCAGCATATCACTTAGAAATATAAGGAACCCTCAGTTTAAAATTGGTCTCTAAACTCAACTAACGTTTTTCAGTTGTCATTGTCTGTAGGTCTCAGAAAGTTATACAAACTGTTGGTGATCCTTTGAAATAGTATAGTTGCTTCCTTAAGCATTAAGCTTCAACAAATAATGTCAGTGGCAGTTGGTATAGTGAAAAGAGCCTGGCCTTTAGAGTCAGTCAGAATTGGGTTCAGATTAGGGCTCTGTTACTTGCTGGTAGCATTACTTTGAGCAAGTTATTTAACTTCTCTGAGCTGTTAGAAGTTTGATCAAGATTCGATGCCCAAGCTGGAGCTGAGAGTGGAAGTTCATTGCTTGTAATAAACCACACTATCCTTTCAGCTACCTCCAAAAATGTATCCAATCAACTAAGCCATCAGCAGACAGCTTGCAAAATTAAATGCATTCCACTATCCCAATTTCTGGTTGGTGAAAATAAATGTGGGATAGAGAATAAGCTCCATGGTTAAACAGTCATATCTTTTAGCTGAGAGCAAAAGAGCAGTTTAACTGTATGTGTGAACCAGCAGAAACTAGCAGAATTTAAGACAATTGGAAAATCCTGAAGCACCGCACTACAGAAAGTTTGTTCGCAGTGGATGGCTGTAGTGAAAGCCTTTCTGCTTCACATTTATACATTTTTATTTTTCATGCAAATTACTTTAAGAGAGATATAAAATAAATTAGAAAGCACATACTGGCTTTAATGAAAGATAGCAGTCATCTTCAAAGTACATAGCTTTGTCTTAGCTTACACTTTATAAAAGAAAAGAACACAAGTAATTTTACAGTCCTTGATGAGTAATGCTCTTATAAAATAAATTAAGCATTTAAATATGTTTTTCTTATTTACAGCTCGCCAGGACATGATTATAGCTTGTCAAGCTTATCTAAAATAAAAGATAATATATATATCAACATTTTTGATGAAATGATTGTTGAAAAACATGAGGTAAAGTAGAATAATGGTAATTATCAATGTTGAAATAATTCTGAGGTCAGACTGAAGTCTAGTAACATATTCGTAAATTTGCTTTTAGATGCAATATGTCCAACATTTTCTAAAATGGATTTGGGGCAACTTGAAATTAAATCAGACATATGACAAGTCAGTTCAAAAATAACAGAGATCATAAACCACATATAGGAAGAGGAGGGGTAAATATACCAAGAATTTGGGAGAAGTAGGTTTCTGCCAATTGAACATTACATTTAAATGTGAGCTTCCTGGTAGCCAAGATAGAAAGATAAACAAAAATGGATTATATATTTCTCATTGTCTGATCAAAAAAACTATACCACTTCTACAAAAGAGACCAAATTATTCCTAGGACTAAAACCCAGTTCTATTCGATGAAATTTTAAAAATTACTGGATCTCTTCCTCGTAGATACATGAAAGTTCCTAACACAATGCCTAGTGCCATAGCAAGCCCTAAAATAAATGTTAGTTTCCTTCCTACTGAACTTGGCACTAAAAGTATAAGGGTGCAGTGGCCGGCCCGGTGGCGCAAGCAGTTAAGTGCGTGCGCTTCGCTGCAGTGGCCCAGGGTTTGCTGGTTCAGATCCTCGGATTGCACCAACGCACCGCTTGTCAAGCCATGCTGTGGCGGCGTCCCATATAAAGTGAAGGAAGATGGGCATGGATGTTAGCCCAAGGCCAGTCTTCCTCCACAAAAAAGAGAAGGATTGGCAGATGTTAGCTCAGGGCTGATCTTCCTCACACACACAAAAAAGTATAAAGGTGCATATCCATTATATCTCCTCTCTTGGGGCTCTGATTGAATGCTTTAATATAAAGGTCTATCAAATTCTATGGCAATACTATTGAAGGAGCAATTAATTCTACCTGTAGGGATTGGGGATCAGAATCAGAGAAGCTGAGCTAGACCTTGAAGTATGGTTCAGGAAAGAGCCTTCTGTAAGAACTACTGAGAGGGGGCTGGCCCGGTAGTGTAGTGGTTATGTTCACACGTTCTGCTTTGGTGGCCCGGGGTTCACAGGTTCGGATCCCGGGCACGGACCGACACACCACTCATCAAGCCATGCTGTGGAGGCATCCCAAATACAAAATAGAGGAAGATGGGCACAGATGTTAGCTCAGGGCCAGTCTTCCTCAGCAAAAAGAAGATTGGCAATGGATGTTAGCTCATGGCCAAGCTTCCTCAGCAGAAAAAAAAAAAAAAGAACTACTGAGAAACATAATGGCAATGTCTTCCAACCCAGTTTTCCAGGAGATACAGACACATATTCTTATTAAAACATTTCCGTCAACTCTTAATAAAGGCTGAGGGTAAAATATTAAACAGTAATTTGGTGATGGCTATTCTCCAAGGAGTTAAACTGAGTTGTTTTGTGATTATCTAAACTGATAATGAGTAGAGCTTAGAAAACCCAAAAGCATGCCTAATAGACTTTCTTTCTCAGAAGTGAATTATTTGGGTGATCCGTTTGACCAGAATTGAATAGCAGTTGATTAACAGTTAAATTCTTACAAGTGCTTGGTGGTGGTGTTGAATGAAATCCATATGCGTTAGGTATCAGACTTGTCTATGTAAAAACTTGGGCTTTCTATTTAGAAAGGGAGAGGGCCTGGCTTGCCCTCCTCTCATGGACTGGGTTGCAAGGTGACTGTGGCCCAAAACGTTCCGTTTTCTCGTAAAGGACCAGAGCTAGGCTGAGCCCCGAGGTGACCACCCAGCAGAAAGAAGGTTTTGGTCTATCACTGATCTATGATATTCTTTAGAAAAGATTTTCTTCCCGTGCCTCAATTTTCCTCTCTTTTCTCTGTGTTTTTTTTTCCTGCTGTCAACTATTTCTTACTTGCTGTGGGTCTCCCTTTCGTTAGTTACTTGCTAGCGGGAAGCTGAGGACTTGGACGCCTCACGGACGTGTGGACTGTTTTTAGCGCTGGGGAGGGAAGAGCTGGACTGAGCTGCATCTGGAGCTCACACAGCAAGCCCAGGGCAAAGCTCCAGATTTGGAGCCTCTGTTTACTGAAACTGTAACGGAAATCCTGATGGTCACAAAAAGAATTTAAACTAATCCAGTACTTGGTTGTTGGTTTAAATGGTTTTTTTAAAAAAGGAAAAATTAGTTATTTTCAAGATTTTAAAATTCATTAGCATATAATTGTTTAGCAGTTTCTTATAATTTTTGACCTGCTGTTATCTACCCTCTTCTCATTTCTAACTTTATCCAAGTGTTTTTTTTCTATTTTTTCCTGATTTAATTTGGAAGAGATTTTCCTATTTTTTAAAGAACCAACTATAGAAGTTGTTCTTAAATTTTACGCTTCCTGTGTTTTCTAATTCATTTATTTCTGCTTGTATTTTTATTGGTTTTTTCCCTCCTGATTTCCTTAGGACTGTGATTTTTATACTTATTTTGGCCAAATGTGTTGAATGTCTAGTTTGTTCAGTCTCTCTCTCTTATAAATAATGAAAACATTTTAAGACTATAAATTTATCTCTAAAAACATCTTAGACTGTGTCTTTTATAATATTAGATTACTTATTATTTTTTGTTATTTTCCATATATTTTATTATGTTTATATCTTCCTTGATCTAATGGTTAATTAATATTATTCTTTTACTTTTTCAAATGTTTGAGTGACTTGAGTGTAAACTTTAATTTTAAATTCTAGTTTTATTACATTGTAGCCAAAGTGGCTTTTGTAGTTTTTAATAATTGGTACTATGATTTTTGAAAAAAATAACCCTTTAAAATGTTTTATTTCTGAGGTTTAATTTTAATTATATGCTTTTTCTAGAGTTTATAAACCCCTTCAGATAAGTTTAGGTTATTCAGATGCAAGAAACTCAACACGAGATTGCTTAATTAAATTTGTATTGAGAAACTTATTCTGGTAAACATTTTGCTTTCTATCCAAGGGAAAATAAATGGTAAAGACAACAGGCTAAAAAGGAAAAAATGCCAGTGCTTCAGATCAAGAAACTAAATATTTTTAGCATCACCCCAGAAACCTCTTTTGTGCTCTCTCGAAGTCACTTCCTCCCCAGGAGTAACTGCTATCTTATTTTCTAACAGCATAGATTAGGTATTGCTTATTTTTGAACTTTATATGATTGAAATCTCATGCAGTATGCATCCATTTGTTTTTTTGTTTTTGTTTTTGTTTTTTTGATGAGGAAGATTAGCCCTGAGCAAACATCCATTGCCAATCCTTCTCTTTTTGGTGAGGGAGGTTGGCCCTGAGCTAACATCTGTGCCCATCTTCCTCTATTTTATATGTGGGGCGCCTGCCACAGCATGGCTTGATAAGCAGTGCATAGGTCTCCACCTGGGATCGGAACCTGTGCACCCCGGGCCGCTGAAGCAGAGCATGCGAACTTAACCACTATGCCACCGGGCCGGCCCAGTATGCATCCATTTGTGAATGGCTTGTTTCTCTCTACATTGTGTTACTGGGAGTCATCCATAATGTTGCATTTAGCAATAGCTCGTTGATTCTCATTGCTGCATAATATATTATAGAAATATACAACAGCTTTTTAATGCATTCTATTGTTGATAGATAATTTGCTTCTTTCTAGTTATTGGCTCTTACAAATAATACTGATATAAATATACTGTACACGTCTTCAGGAAATATATCTATGCAATTCCATTGGATATATACTTAGGAGTGAAATTGCTAGCTCTTGGGTTGTGCATATGTTCAGCTTTAACAGTTTAACGCCAAACAGTTTCCAAAACGGTTGTGTCAATTTATACTTCCACCAGCGGTTTTTGAGAGTTCTAGTTGCTCCACATCCTTGCTGTTACCTGGCATTGTCTGATTTTTTTCATTTCAGCCATATTGATGAAAGTGTAGTCATATCACCTTGTGGTTTTAATTTGCATTTTCATGATAACTAATGAAATTGAGCACCTTTTTCTATGTTTATTAGCCATTTGGATATCTTCTTTTGTGAAAGATCTATTGAAGTATTTTGCCCATTTTTTTCATTGATTTGTAACAGTTCTTTGTATATTCTGGATATGAGTATTTTGTCAGATATATATATTATTTTTCCCCCTCTGGCTTGTCTTTTTTTACTTTCTTAATGTGTCTTTTGATGAAAAGAAAATCTTGATTTAATATAGTACAATACAATGCCATGGTGGTGCTTTTTTGGTCCTCTAGGAGAAATATTTGCCCACTTAAAATCATGAAGATAATATCCTATGGTTGCTTCTAAAAGGTGTATCATTTTACCTTTCACATTTAGATCTAAAATCCAACTGGAATTGATTTCTGTCTGTCTGTGAGGTAGAGGGTCAAGATTTATTTTTCTCTCGTAAGGATATTCAGTTGATCCAGCACCATTTATGGAAAGGATCACCCCTTCCCTCAATTCCCTACAAAGTTACCCTTTGTTATAAATCTGGTGACTGTATAAATGTAGGTTTATTTCTGGACTCTCTATTGTGTTCTCTTGGTCTGTTGATCTATCCTTGCATTGCATTGATACCACACTGTCTTAATTACTAAAGCTTTGTTATAAATCTTGATATCTAGAAATCAAAATCTTTCAGCTTTGTTTTTCTTCCTCAGGATTGCTTTGGCTATTCTTAGCCCTTTGCATTTCCGTATAAATATTAGAATCAGCTTGTTGATTTTGAAAACAAGACAAAACCTGCCAGGATTTTTATTAGGATGGATTGACTATATAGATCAATTTGATTAGAATTGACATTTTTATACAATATTGATCTTTCCAATCCACATACGTGGTATATGTCCCCTCTCCCCCTTTAATTATCTCTGTAGTAGTCAGGGTTCTCCAGAGAAGCAGAACCAATAGGATATATAGAGATATATAAAAGGAGGTTTATTATGGGAATTGGCTTATGGGATTTTGGAGGCTGAGATATATCACAATATGCCATCTGCAAACTGGAGAGCCAGGAAATCAGGTGATATAATTCAGTCCAAGTTCGAAGGCCTGAGAACGAGGAGATTGCTAGTGTAAGTCCCAGAGTCTGAAGCCCTCAAGAACCAGGAGCTCCAATGTCCAAGGGTAGGAGAAGATGGATGTCCTAGCTCAAGAAGAAAGAGAGAGAATTTGTCTTTCCTCCACCTTTTTGTTTCATTTAAGCCCTCAGAGGATTTGGATGATTTCTGCCCACCTTGGTGAGGGCTGATCTTCTTTACTCAGTCTACTGATTCAAGTGCTAATTTCTTTGGTAACACCCTCACAGACACACCCAGAAATAATGTTTTGCTAGCTATCTGGGCATCCCTTAGCTCAGTCAAGTCGACACATAAAATTAACCAACACAATCTTTTCCCAGTTTGCACCATGGTGGGGCTTAAGCATAGCCTATAATCAATCATAATATTCTAAACAGACCAAAATAGTAAATTTCTCTTTCCACATAGGTGGATGGCCTCTTGTTTACTTCTTTAATTACAAGGTCATAGAATTACAAGGCGTGTTTCAGCCAAGGCTAAAGCAGGGATGGGAAAGAACAGAAATCTTGCAAATCTGAAATTCCCGTGATAAAGGTGACCAGGACCTTGGGAAAAATAAACAATCTGTAAACTCGCATAAGAAAGATAACTACCAAGCAATCAGAATTGGTCTATCAGTGCAATCGTTTCTCCATAGAGAAACCTTTCTTAGAAACCAATCTGGGCTCAGAAGACTGCTTGGTAAATCAGATAAACCTGAATTACATAGCTTTAAGGGCTTAAGTTGAGGTAGCCTGTGGGTCACCTTTTTCCAATAGACATGCCATGCAATTAAATTACTTAGCCATGTCAGCAAACCTGCTTCTTTTTGACTATGTTATATCAACCATAAAACTTCATCTCCTTTTCTAATTGACCCAGCATCCATGATGATAATCTCCTCTTTGAATGTATCATCATCATTTCAACGTATTTTCACTACCATTTAACATCTTAAAATGTTGTTAATGGTGGTGATGTCTTTGGGGGTTAAGGTAATTTTCATTCTTTTCTCTATATCCTTTCGTGTATTTTCAAAGTTTGCTGCACTGAGTAAATCTGCTATAATAAAAGTGTATACTTTAAAAATGTTTTACATTGTTTACTGACATATAGGAAGAGATCTTAATTTACCTAAAAAGAAGCCTTCCTTGACAAGGCAGCCTTTTTGGAGCCGTGGATGGGATTTCTTTATACGTTTGGGCCCCTAGTACACAGTTCATTTCATCAAGCCATTAGTCCCAACTCTATGGTTGACAATTAACATTACAAACGTGTTACTCTTAATAACAAAAAAGGGAGCCTATTGGGCAAGGTGGGTTGCACACAAAGAAATCACTTTCCAGGACTAAGATTAAGGATTTTTTTTTCAGTAATTCAGATATTTATTATTTCTGTCTTTAAAAAGCAAAAAGTGCACAAATGCTCTTTGGACAGGGATGACGTAGAAATGTATTTGTACATTTCAGTACATAAAAGTAATGAATTCATGAAGATTGGTTCATCCATATTTCATTGTGAGTTTGGAGCAAACCCCACCCTCCCTGTCATACCCAGACTCTACCTTGCCCCATGGCCACTACTGCAGTGTTGGTGGAAGCACCATTCTTAGCGGTCTCAATCCACACTGTCTTTGGGTGTTGAAGGGATTATTTTGATTTGCAAGATGTTGGAGATACACAACATCTCACAAATATCTCAGATTTATTTAAAAGCCCTAATCTTTAGGAGCTAAATCAATCACAGCAGGAGCCCCACTTCAACCATTTAACCATCCGAGTAACTGGCCCTGCTTCAACATGCCACTATGTTGCAGACTTAGCACACATCATAGCTCAAGAATATTAAGTCTTGTTTTTATCATTTGCTATAAACAATTCCTATATTAATAGATTCCTTAGCGATTGCTTCATATATAATTCATATTGTTGGTCTTAAAATTCTTTCACTGCTTCTCAGAGAGAATGCATAGAGAACTAATTTTAAAGTGAACCCCAATAGAGGTGTAATCTGTAGCCTGAGACAAGGTAGATCTAGGAAGCCTGCAGCATCCTTGGGACCTGGGATGGAAAGATTAATGTAGTTGAGATCACATCAGTCAGAAGTCCAAGACCTTAATTGCTACAAAAGCTAACCAAGTGCACCTGTTACCTTTTAGATTAGAGCAACACAGTCCACTTTCTTAACTCTGGTGTTGCTGGTCAGCCTCTGGATTTAAAAGACCCTTCTAGTATTCCCTGATAAGTGGAAGGGATAACTTCTCAAATACAGAGTTTTAAGGAACTCCAGATGTCCAAAGGCAGCAGTTATGAACTGAAGGTGGGAATCAGGGGTGTTGGCAGCTTTTATTCAAACTTTACCCCTTCCTCAGATGCAGGTAAACAGCAAGGAGAACAGAAGGAGGAAGATCAGATAAGATATGGGAGCCAAAATATATTGCATTTACTTTTGCAAGGTCTTTACGTTTCTAACCTCGACCATTTACAAGTGGCTTATTAACTGTATTTCTTTTATTTCTTAATTGTTGCTCTAGATTTTACAATATATTCTTTAATTTATCAGTCTACCTTTATATATTATACCACTTCACATATAGTGTAAGAACAAGATGTTAACTCTTCCATTTCCCCCTTCTGTGCTTTGTATTAGTATTATTATGCATTTTAGTTATACGTATGTCATAAACTCCACAACAGGTCATTATTTTTGCTTTAAATAGTCAATTATCTTTTAAAGAAATTAAAAAGGGATAAAAAATATCTTTTCTGTTTACCCTTTGGTTTCTTTTAAAAAGAAAGAGAATATTTTTTATACTTACATTCAAATTTGTGAAATTATTCATCACATGATATAAAGTAAGTAAAAGAAAAATTATTTATTTAAATAGAATCACTGTTTCAAGAGCTGCAGTGGTCATTCATATATAAGAAAGAATTGGCTTGGATCCATTGTCTTCCCTTTCTCTGCCCTTCTGCAACAATCTGAGGTAATAGAAAATGATTCTTTGCTAATTATTCTAAGTTTTTACCTCTGGCTAGTAGAAACACTGTTGTCTTTGAATGAGATTCTGTGATTGGCAGGTTGGTAGGTCAGTTACAATGATCCTGTATTTGGATGTCCCTGGGGTGTTGGAGTTTTGAAGGTTTTAGCTATCTCTAGAACAGGAGACACCTACAAATTTATTTCTTATGTCTTCCGAGTGTTCATTGATCAAGAATAGGACAGCTTGCCTTAGGTCTTAAAGCATCATTCATATTTGCATGTAATAGTTTTATAGGACCAGATTCACAAATGCCATGATTAATGATGTTGCTTTGTAACCATGGGTTCCAGGAGTTTCAGCTCCTCAGCGTTGTTCATTGATAATGTTGACACGGATGATTGCACCTGTCTCTGTGATACCCCCGGAGAGCTCTGCTGTTGGGTTATATAGCAAGAATATGCCTACATAACCAGCAAAATATAAAACCCCAGCCTAGACTCCATTTTGGGCTTTGTTACTTACAGAGCTATGCTAGATACAGAAGATTCAGAAATGAATTTTTTGCCTCAAGGAGTTCACTGTCTATAGAAGAAAATTAACATTTCAGTGCAACGTGATAATGCTGTAGTGCTTTGATAGGGGCATGAGATAGGTACTATGCGGACATAACAGTAGGGAGTAACTTACTCTTCCTGGTTTGGAGGGGCATGTGAGGGGGAGTCTTCAGAGGAGTTGGGGGTGGGTAAGAGGGGAATGAAGAGGAGAATGAAAGGTCAGGGAACTATTTACAGAGGCAATAACTTTTGAATCAAGTCCCTAAAGATGAGTTTGTCAAGCAAATGAGGGCATTTGACTCAGAAGAAATTATGTGTGTATCGCTTAGTACTGCATTCAGGCGTATGCAACGGGAAACCTGACTAACAGTGACTGGTGTAAGAGGTCTAGTTAGCTCACCTAAAAAGAAGTCTAGATGCCAGTGCAGCAGCTCAAGAATATCACCGAGGATCCAAGCTACTTTCGTCTTTCTGTTCCACTGTCCTTATTATGCGGCTTTCATCCTCACAATTGCAAATTGTACACTGCACTTTCAACCTCATATTCATGTTGCAGACAGGAGGCAGGAAAAGAGACTTCCTCCAGAAAACCCGGGCAGATTTCTTACATTTTATTTATGTGACTTGGCTAGCACATGGCTGTCATGTTGCCACCTAAAACCATTGGTAAGAAAGGAAGAAAGAATGGATATGAGGGAGGAGAGTAGAAATGTCTGAATAATATGCATTCGCAGCAAGTCACGAGGGAGCATGTTGCAGACATGCTGCAAATAAAGACCAATAGAGATTTAAGTTGTTGGAGGATTTAAATGTTCCTACATGTCTACATCCCTGCGGATGTTTCTCAGTCTCAGGCCAGACTCTAGGATAGAGAGGTAGTTAGAGATGTGAGCTTCAAAGGTGGGCAAACCTGGGTTGTAATCCTGGCTTCACTACTCATTAGTTGTGTGATCTTGTGCAAATTCCTTGAATTCTCTGAGCCCTAATTTCCTTATCTATGAAATGGAGATGAGAGCAGTATCTGCCTCATTGAATGATATGATCTATATCAAGCACTTGGCGCAGTGCCTTGCACGTAATAAGTGCTCAGTAACTATTAGCTTTTATTATTAATTATTATTGTAAATTATCTCCTCCCTCCAAACACACACACACACACTCACACACACACTCACACACACACACACACTCACACACACACACACAGGTCGTCCTGTGGACCTCTGGGTTGTTACATTTTTTTCTCTTACTAGACCCAATGCAAAATGTAACATGGTCTTTTAGCCTCTTCTCTGAGCTTGAGGTGGATTTTCTAAGAGCTTTTATCATACTAAGTTACTCTCGTACAGTAACTTGCTTCCTCATTTCATCCCTTTCTTACTCCTGTCCTCTCCACATAGTACGTATTAGATAGGGGCCCAGGGTGTCAAGGGTGCCTGTGAACAGATCACGTGGAGAACCGGATCATCCTTGTGCAAGTACATATTAGTAGAACCAGCATGTACCTTTGCAAGCCTGTTTCCTCCTATGGAGAAGACTGAGTTGGGCTGTACTAGATTGGACTGATGTTTATTTTCATCATGCAGAATCTATTATATTGATATATTCTTTCAGGTTAGTGGAACATTTCAAGTAAATATTCCACCAGTTTTGCTTGGGTATACTTGGAGTAAGACTTATGTGTCTCCTAAAGAAGATTATAATGGGCAGAATTTAAAAGAATGTACTTTCTTAAATATTTTTGCTACCATTGAACCTCAAATATCATATATCACCTGTAATCCAGAACTAGATAAGGTAGGTTTTACATTGAATTATTTTTATATACTCTATCAAAGAAGTGAGAACTATTTTAAAAATTAGTAATAATTTCAAAGCTGGCAAAAATGAACATTGGTTCTTGATATTTTCCTGTGGGAACAATATGATACAATGTTGAAATATTTTAAACTTGATTCTAGTTTTCAGATCAAATAGATGTTTTGGAGAGAGCACAGATTTTTAGAAAAAATTGTAAGGCAATGTTTCCCAACCGAAGAATCGTAACTACTGTTTTTAATGATGAAGGGATACAGATCTTAGTGACAAGATATATCAAGGCATTAAATCCACCTCAACAACTCCTGGATATATTTCTTCATGATTCTAATGCAACCCTTGTAAGTTATATTTATTTTAGTAGCTTTGTTGAAATATAATTTATATACCATATAATTCACCCATCTAAAGTGTACAATTCAGTGGTTTTTAGTATATTCACAGAGTTGTGCAACCATTACTACAATAAATTTTAGAACATTTTCATCAGTCCAAATTTATATTTATTTTAACTTGTTTACTTTTTTATATTAACTTTGAGTATAACTTTCTTACTAAAATTATTTGACCTTCAAAGACACTTTCCTGAGAGAGAAACCATCTATGTTGCACTGTGTCCTCCTGAGCCACAGATGAAAGAAAACGTTTCTTTCTGATCCTCTTCATTTCTGCCCACTTGGGCTAGAGAGTCACTGTTGCTACACCAGTTCACGTGGCCATACTAACTTCCCAGCTTTTCTATCAAACTTTGAAAAATGACACAGAAAAATTCCTTTGATTTCCAGGCAAAATAAAAAGTTATGTTCTTAAAGGAGTTGTGTCCTTCTAAAGATTACTTCTCACAGATTGCTTCTCATTGTATGTGGGAATGAAGAAACTATATTATATTTTGCTCTGTAAACTGCCAGCGTAATACTTCCCACCCCATCCGTATGTGGCTTTATGCATACCTACTTACCAGCTGACAAAAGAGACATATACTGAAAATTTCATTTCATATAAAATGAAAATATATTCATTATAGACTCAAAAGAGGACATAGCTCCTTCTACTTTGAGAAAGGAAAATATGAAATCAGAAATATAATTCTCCCCTTGAAGAAAATGTAAGCTTTGATTAAAGGGCATCTATGAAAAATCACTTATACCTTTTGTTTATTCGAGTCAGTTGGCTCTCCTCAGAATATTTATATTATTTGTCCATTATAAAGCTCCCTTAGCTTTATAATAAAAGCTCCCTTAGCTGAACTCTTTAAGCTAAAATCAAAAGTCCTAATTTAGGTCACCTTTTGCTTTTCCTCTGCTTTTCCGTTATGGGTTTCTTCCTGCCTTTGCTTCCTAACATCCAAAGTCCAAGGACATAATAATGCTCTCAGATTTCTTTCCAAGACAGTCTTTGTATTTTTTAAAAAATATAAATCCTAGCTCCTTTGCTTATCAAGGATTGCGGGCTGTGTTTAATTAATTGCATGAGTCAGAAACATGACCAGTGTAGGAGGTCGTAATAGTGTATAAATGGTGGCTATTGCACATCAATGAAAATGTTCATGAACCTTCTGTGTTAACTCATTGTTTGTTTATGTGTATCCCTTTCTCCTTTCCTCCTTTAGTCTGAGTCCTTGTCTCCAGACCTGTAGGGGGAACAATCCACAGTGTAACTTCTGTTGTTTGAGAAAGCAGGCTACACCAGTATCTACTTGCTGCTTCTATTAATAAAAATAATCCTGATATATTTTGAACCTAAAAGCAAATCAAACTTTGGCTATTCTTCAATGACTTTTTTTCAATTTTTTAACATTATATTTAAAAATATATATGTAATATATCATATTTAAAATTTTAATAATTTATTACAATGAAATGTAATGGTTAACAGGCGTGCTCTGGAGTCAGGGTAACTTGGGCTTATTCCCAGAGACCCCATATATTGTGTTAGCTGTGTGATCCTGGGCAAGTTATCTTATCACTCTAAGCTTGTTTCCTCTTCTGTAAAACAAAAATAATAATATGTACTTCATAGGCGTGTAGGATACACTAAATGTGATAATAATGCATGTGAATACTGTACTTAGTGATGGCATATAGTATGCACTCAACAAATGTTAGTTAATATTATTCTAGGACCTCGTTGCTCGCTTTGTGTCTTTGATTCCTATTATGCCTGATGCACTGGATGAAAATGATGGTTTTTATATATGGATGACATCAGAGGTAACAAATTATATTTTATAATTAAAATGTATAGTATTTCTTACTTGCTTTTTTTTAAAGAAACAAATTTTTAAAAATTATTATGCACTCATGTAGTACTTTGCCTTGTGAAATTTGAAAGCATTTGATAATTCAATAGATCATTTTCAGTTCTATAACAATTCATAGAAATAGTTCTTAAAGACCAAAAATCTTATTCAACATTATAAGTGGTAGTTCATGAATATTTTGATTCAACAGGAATTCTAGGAGTACAATATTATGACATTCTTCAGAGAAAAATATGACTTGTCACTAAGGAGCTGGTCAGGCCCTGAAGTCTGGAGCAAATACCACCACTTCCCAGAAGCTTTCCCCAGTCTCCCCACATCTGACTGAAGAGCTTGTATAGCAGTGTTCTTCCTTAGCACTTGGATTAAAATTCTCTTTAGAGTGGTTGCCAAATAAAAATACAGGCCCCATGCAATATTTGGGACATATACTAAAAAACTGTTTATCTGAAATTCAAATTTAACTGGGCATCCTATTTTTTCCCCCAAATCTGGCAACCCTAATTAGCGTACTTCTTCCATTCCACTGTAAATTATGTTTAGTTGCTTGTATATTGACCCCACACCCATACTCTGTACATGTACATTCCAACTTTAATTACTTTGAATGAAGGGGCAGACTTGATTCTTATTTATTTTTATATGCATCACTTGTACACTGCTTTAAATTTAGCAAGCATTCAATAAATATTTTTAATTGGAAAATGCTAGTATGATGGGAACTTGAGAGAGGGACATTTTACATCTGGAACTGATAGTCCTGATGCTTATCTAGAATGTTTTAGAGGCTCGATTTGAGCTGAAATGAATTTAGGGGGCACAGGACTAACTTAATAGGTCAGCTACCCTACCTTCTGCTAAGTGAAAACAAGGAAGATACAAGCATGTGGTTCCAGTGATTCAGTGATTCAAATCTGGTGGAACTCCAAAAGGTGTCATTAACTCTAGACTCTTCTGAGACTGTGAATTAATCGGAATGTGTTCAGGGGTATTATGATCCTGAAGAACATTAAAAGACAGCCTCTAAAATAGCTAAAAATAACCATAAAAATAACCATTCAGGCAAATACTAGTAATCTCAAGCCCCACCCCCCAATCCAAATAATACCCATAACCAAGAGGTTACTATAGGCATGGGATTCCTCTTGGCTAATGTCTTCCCGTGGACATGAACTCTTTGGCCATGGGATGCCTATGAGTGTATGACTAATTAGATTGTCACAAGACAAGAGTTATTTTCTCCTACCTAACATAGTCTTTGGAGTCAAACAAACCTCAGTTCAAATCGTACTTCAACCACTTAATACCTGGGTGATGTAAGATAAGTTAGTTATTTAGCTTCTTTGGACCTCAGTTTCCTCATCTGTGTCATACAGGAGTTTTGAAAGGATAACATATGCAAAGTATCTGGAACTCGGTACGTTAGTTACCTACTCTCATTCATTCCCTCTTCCTCTTATGAAATCCAGTCAGGGGAACCTCCTTGGCCTGACACTGAAGACTACTCATATTCTTCCCTTCACTATTCTGTTGACATTTCTCTTTCAGAAGAGCCATGTTACCAGCCTCCCTAACCTCCATCCCTCACCATCATGTTCAGCCAGTGTGTACTGATGTGGCCATATCAGTTGTTAAAATATTGAAATGCTTCCATACTGATTGGCAAATAGTCACTGCCATGACTGAGCTCCCCCTCCCCAATCTCCCTGGCCACCACTGCTCTTTCTCTGAGACTATAATCAACTCGAAAGCACATGTCCTAAATGGTGCAGCTGCTGCTCAGCAACAATAGATTATTGCCATATGAATATCTGGGCCCATATATGTTGTTAAATCTTTTGATTTTTCAAAAGAAGCCAGAAATCCAGAATTTTATATGAGATCTCCCAATTTTTAAAAACATCCCAGGGGCCAAACAAGACACACCTATAGAGTAGAACTAGGCCATAGACCAGCAGCCTGCCACCTCTGCTGTGCTTTTCTCCTCTTGTTACAACTGCTTTACTAGGCACCCTATATTTGATTGCACCCAGCCCACCTGTTCAGCTCTTTCAGTTGAAGAAGTTTTAGTCACTCTTCCTAATTGTGCTCCAACTCAGATCTCTTCCTCTCTTTGGGTTGAGAGCGCTATATTGGAATAGGACAGAGTATAGCTCCATTGACCAAAGGATCCCTTTCTCCAAAAATACTGCAATGTCCTATCAGATGAGGTTTCTTAAAATACCAGTCCATATGTCCCTGTTTGCCCAGGGCAGTTTAATATTTGTCCTAAACAAAAATGTCCCATTTTGGATGATAAATCATTTGGTCATTTACATAGTATCCACATTAATTGTCCTTTGAAAAAGGTGACCCCCTCTGTTCCAAGTTAATGTTCTCTCCTTCTAATGCCTTAGTGTTTTATCGGGCAAAAGGTGCCGGAACTTTCAGCTTTGTAGTCATGTTAGCGACCTGGCAAAAATATGTGTGCTTGAAACTGGAGGGAGTAGAGGGGCTCTAAATCTGTTCGATGCTTGCATTACTCAACTTTCTTTTCCTTTTTTTTCCTGTCCTTGTTGCTTTGTTTCGACTTAGCGCTGCATCAGCTTGGCTATTGGAAATAAGGAGGAGCATGCCATACTTCTCTGTAATTTCTTTCTGTATTTCGGAAAGAAAGCTTTGGTCCTTCTGGGAACCTCAATGTTGGAAGTAAGTGCCGGAGTTAATATTTAAATACCATAAAGAAAACTAATTAACTTTCAGCTGCATGATTAAAAGACTTCAACCCCATGTTTCCATCTTTTCACAAGCTAATTAGGCAAAAAATTATTTAATTAAGAGCATAATGTTGGTTCATCAAAATTTCTGCAACGTAAAGAATGAATTCCTTTTGCTTTTCTTCTTTGTAAAATAGTACTACTACTAGTGCTCCTCAGGGGGTTACTAGAACTATTAAATTACATAGTAAATATATAGCACTGAGAGCAGCATCTGGTTCATGGCAAATAATAAATGGTGGTGGTGGTGATGGTGATGGTGATGTAGCAATAGTTGTAGTAGTAGTTGTAGTGGTTGTTAACATCATCACCACCATCATCTTTATATGCTTCTAATACTATATTTGAAGATCCTTAAGAAATACTTCTCCCTATTCTCCATTGCCTAGGTTTTTTTTTCTGAGGAAGATTGGCCCTGCGCTAAATCTGTTGCCAATCTTCCTCCTTTTTTCTTTTGTTTTTCATCCCCAAAGCCCCAGTACAGAGTTGTGTATCATAGTTGTAGAGTTGTAGCTCTTCTACGTGGGACGCCACCTCAGTATGGCTTGAGGAGTGGTGAGTAGGTCCGTGCCCAGGATCCGAATTGGCGAACCTGGGGCCACCGAAGCGGAACGCGCGCAATTAACTGCTACGACACGGAGCTAACCCCAATCTAGTTTTTAATTGTACAAGAAGTGGGCCAGAAATTAAATTTTAGCTACCTGAAATTTTTACAACTTAACAGTATACTCCTGCATTTATACCCCCAGAAAGCTGTCTTTTGGACTGTTTCTATTTCTATCATAAATATCTTGATAAATATCAAAATTTCCAGCCTTGTTTTATGGTTTTTGTAATGATCACTTATTTCTCTATATTCCCTTGGCATACTTTAATGATTTCTGTGTCATGTTTGTTAGCTAAAAGCCTATAGTTAATTTCCCTGTATGATTCCCCCTGCTGTAGTTTTAAGTGCCACTAGATGGCAGTAAACAACCAACAATATTTCAACCAACATTTGCATTTGTACCTGTAATTCACACGGTGGTTGGCAGCCCTCAGCTGTGTGTTTCACCTCAGCTATGTGGTTGAGGTGAAGCCTCCTCTTCACTGTAGAAAAGATGAACACAGCGACAGAGAGCAAGAGCTTTGGAGTTAGGGAGACCAGGCTGCATAGTGCAGTGAAGAATATGGGTTTGGGAGTCAGAGAGGGTTTTAAAACCCAGCAATGCCATTTACTAAATGTATGATGGCAGCCTTGTTTACTTCTCTGAGCCTCAGTTATCGCCTCCAAAAACAGGAATATACCCTTTACTATTACCCTAGACAAGCCCCGTAACCTCTGATCTTCATCTGAAAGAGGGACATAATCATCGCTAGCTCACAGAATTTGGAGTGAATTAAAGAGAAAATTAGTGCGAATGCTGCGTACAGTACCTGGTGTACATAAATACTCAATAAATGTTAAATAGTCATTATTATTGTTTCCTGAAATTTTTATCCTTTGCTAAGAAAGATTTACACTTCAAAAGGTGTGTGTAGAGCAAAATGATAACAAAATAATGACGACTTTCATCCCTCGAATGATTTTCTATATACTTTCTCTCTAGCCTCTAATTCCAGATCTTGTTCTCAAAACTAATTTAATGGCTTTTTAACTTCACTTGGCTCTTTCAGAGCCTTAGGCAAGTTTCCATTCCCTAACTCTGCGTGGTGTTCACCCTCAGTCTCCAAGTATATTTTACTCAGGGCTAGTCCGTAAGCATCTTTGTGTGAATTAGACAAAAGTTCCCCTACCTCAGAACACTTTAGTACTAGCTCTTGGGAAATTGTTATAATATTCTGATTTTGTTAGAACAACGTATTTTATTGCCATGAAGGGTACACCCTGCATGACCATACATGGCAGCACTGGCTCAAAAGTCTCTTAGGGGCCAGCCTGGTGGTATAGTGGTTAAGTTTTCATGCTCTGCTTTGGTGGCCTGGGGTTCGCGGGTTTGGATCCCAGGCGTGGACCTACACTACTCATCACCCATGCTGTGGCAGCGTCTCGCATACAAAATAGAGGAGGATTGGCACAGATGTTAGCTCAGGGCCAATCTTCCTCACCAAAAAAAAAAAAAAAAAAGAATTACAATAAAAAAAATGTTCTCTTACTTGAATCCTCATGCTAGCCTGGGCCTGAGGATTTCTGAACCTTTGGCTTTTTTCCTTTTCAAAAAAATTTTAAAGGTCCTAAAAAAGGCTTTTAGAAATCAAAGGTATCACATGCTTACATTGTAATTTCCACAGACAGAAATGAGTTAAATCAGTCACCCACCAAAAATGACTTTAACTCTTTTTCCTCATACAGGGGCATGTGGCTTATGTATTAACTGAAGAAACTGATGAATATTTGCTTTGGAATCCATTGACTGGGCAATGTCATAAGCAGTTTGACTCATTTTGTCCCTTACAAAGTGTAGACTGTTTGTTTGATGATGGAAATGTAAGTATATGAGAAAAACATCTTATTTTGAATTATCTCTTCAAGAGTCAATACATTAGAATCATGGCTATATATTAGAATCATGTGGGGAACTCTGAAGAAAATACAGATGTTCAGTTAGAATGCCTGGGTTGTGGGGCCAGGGAAATCTTTTATCCCTAAAGTTCCCCCAGGTGATTCTATAGTGCCTCCAAAGTTGAGAACCAGTGAGCAGTCTAATGTTCACATACCTGTGGAATCTCTTTACGTCCTACCTCAGAACCTCCCTTGGCTTCTGCCACTTCGGTGGGTAGCAGGACTGTAAAATTTTGCTCCATCCTAACCAGCTATGGGCTTTGTGCTCCCATGGGCCTATACTGATTTTATGTTAATATTTTAATAGGTCTGGTTTAATATTCAACAAAATAATACACCAATGGCTGTACATTTTGACTACTCAAAGGAAAGTTTCTGGAAACAGTTGCTTCCAAAAAATTTTCAAGGGACAAAAGCACAAAGCATACAGGTAAATCATATTTTTCCAGGTGTCTGCATGAAAGTTACCAATGGTTCTTATCTTTACTAGTGACAGCTCTTGTTGTGTTTATATAGCTGATTAGTTATTGAATTATTTGGCAATATTAATAAAATCCAGTTTTCTCTGCCATCCAGCCCAAGTTTGGGCTATTCTGATCCCCGTCCTCTACTTGCAGAAAAGAGGAACTGAGAAGAAGGTTTCATCTTAAATGTGAATTTAGGTTTTAAAATAAAATGTTTAAAATGTTCATCATAAAACATAAAATATAATGTCAAGATGGTGTAGTCAGTTCTTACTCTGACCTAGCCCTTCTGCTCCACATCCATGGCAATGATAAAGTATAAAAATTGAAAAACAAAAGGCTTATCTGGGATGCAAACCATGATAGTTATAGGAACAGAAACAGGACAGAAACACTAACAGTGAGTGGGGCAGAAAGAGGGATGGCAGCAAGGTCTGAAAATGCTTCATGCAATCCAGGGAACCAGAGCCTGTCTCACTTTTTGAAGCCAGGGCCTGTGATGGGGCTCCCTTACTTTGCTACTCTTGAAAGAAGATGGGGAAGAAAAGCTGCAGACTCCCTGCCTGGGGCTCAGGAAACAGGAGACCAAAGCCCAGACCTGAGATCAGGAACCAACCTAATCACCAGATGGCTCAGCCAGTGGATCCATGATGTACTCAGTATCACTGTGGGAAGGCACCCCAAATTCCATTTCAACAGCTGTTTCTGGATTGAAGGCCATGGTATGGAGGGTGCAGGCAATTGCAAAATCCAAAAACTAGGAGCTGTGACCCCAGAGGAAGAGAGAGAGAGGGGATGGGAAGAAGAGAAAGAGAACCATAGAAAAATAGGCAGAAGACAATTCATAGAAGCAGAAACTCCAATGCTCAATCTCACTCATAATCAGGGAAATACAATTTAAAACAATAGAACACTATCTCACATGCAGTAGATTGGCAAAAAAATTTTTTCAAGTGTGATCATACCAAATGTTGGCAAAGAGGCAGAGAAATAATGGGAGCATAAATTGCTATAAACACTGTGGAAAGCAATATGATGATATCTGGTAAAGCTGAAGATGCTCAACTTTTGATCTGCCAATTCAACTTCTAATTATATGCCCTAGAGGAACGTGCTTAGAGAGGCAAGTACAACAATGTTCATTACAGAATTGTTTGAAATAGCAAAAACAAATTGGAAACAATTCATCAACCGGAAAATGGATACATGAGTTGTGAAGTACTCATGCTATGAAATCTTCTATAGCAGTAAAAAAAGTGTCTGGATAATTTACAGTAGTTCTCAACTTGACTGTACATCCATTACATCAGAATCTCTGAGGGTAGGACCCACACATTGGTATTATTTAAAGCTTCCCAGGTGATTCCAATTGGCAGCTAAGGTTGAGAACCATTGACCTGGAGCCAGGTATATCAGTATGAATGAATATAACAGATGTAATGTTAGGCAAAATAAAGAAGATGTGAAAAGACACATATAATGCAAAACCAATTATATGGAGTTTGAAAACTATATCTTGTTCATGTATATATAGATACATAGTGATAGTATAAAAGCATTGATAGTAATGATAAACACCAAATTTAGGTTAAAGGTTACCTTTGGGGAGAGAAAAAAAGGAACGAGATCAGGGAGCAGTATACAGAGTACTTCAAGTCTATCTGTAATGTTTTCTTCTTTTTTAAAAATCTAAAACAAATACAAAAGAATGCAAAGATTAGATATAGCTAGGTGGTAGTTATGTTGGGTGGATATTCAGTACATTATTCTCTATGCTTGTCTGGATTTTTTTGGTAGTTCACAATATCAAAAAGAATGCATGCTGGTTGTAGGGGAAAAAACAATCAAACAGTAGCAGAGTGTATAATGTGAAGAGTTTCTCTCTTCTTCAACATCTTTTTCCCCATTCTCTAAGAAATAACCACTGTCAGTTCTTGTGCATGCTTCTAAACATTCTCCATGCAGATGCAAGCATATATATATATATAATATATATATATTCATACATATAAATACATTTTTATATATTTCTTGTCTGTAAAGTCATTTTAAAGAAGGGGAAATGTGCTTATCTCTCTTGAGCAAACCATATTTACAGCATCCACAGACCATGCTTTGCTTTTCCCATCCCAAAGTTGTGACTGAAGCATTGCTGCCCCCTAGGGGGAGAATGATATATTTAGAGATGAGGTTTTTTGTTTACTATTAATCATTCTGTTATTCATTCAGGTAATGTTTGTTGAGTGCCTGCTCTGAGCCAGTGCTATGTTAGGTATAGGTACCACAAGGAAAAAGATGTGTCTCAGTATTCTCGGGGCTTGTGTTGTAGAGGAGGAAACAGAAGGAAGCGAGCACTGGCAGTGCAGAAGAAATGAATTGTGCTTTGGGGAGCACACAGCAGGAGGACCTGAGGGGAAGGGGAGTTGCAGGGGAGTCCTGGAAAAAAGGTGATGGCCAGCAGAATGAGGAAGCGTGAGCAGGAGCTGGCCTAGATGAAAATCGGGAAGAGAATGGTCCCAGCAGAGAGCGAGAACAGCAGGTGTGAAGACCTGCAGTGGCGTGGAGTTGTCTGTTAAGGAGCAGAAAGGCCAGCACTGCCCAGAGTGAGCAGAGATGAGCTCAGGGTGAGCAGAGTCCTGTTAAGAACTTGGACCCTTATCCTCAGGGCAGTTGGAAGCCAACACCACCACGGCAAGGACTGGCACGATCAAAGTTGTATTGTTTTTGTTTGTTTGTTTTTTATTGTGAAATTTTTGTTGTACATTATTGTTTATCAGTCACCACGTATGTGCATCCCTCCACCCCTTGTGCCCACCCCTCACCCCTCTAGCCCCTAGTAACAACCAAACAGTTCTATCTGTCTGTGTGTTGGTTTATCTTCCACATAGGAGTGAGATCATACAGTGTTTGTCTTTCTCTTTCTGGCTTATTTCACTTAACATAATACCCTCCAGGTCCATCCATGTTGTTGCAAATGGAACGATTTTGTCTTTTTTTATGGCTGAGTAGTATTCCATGGTATATATATACCACATCGTCTTTATCCAGTCATCAGTCAAGGGACACTTGGGTTGCTTCCATGTCTTGGCTATAGTGAATAATGCGATGAACATAGGGGTGCATAAGCCTCTTTGAATTGTTGATTTCAGGTTTGTTGGGTAGATACCCAGTAGTGGGATAGCTGGATCATAAGATATTTCTATTTTTAATTTTTTGAGGAATCTCCATACTGTTTTCCATAGAGGCTGCACCAGTTTGCATTCCCACCAGCAGTGGATTAGGGTTCTCCTTTCTCCACAGCCCC